GCTTTCTGCCACCGGAGCCCAAGCAGCCTTGGTCAGGGGTGGTAGATGCTACAACCTTCCAGAGTGTCTGCTACCAGTATGTGGACACCTTATACCCAGGTTTTGAGGGCACCGAGATGTGGAACCCCAACCGTGAGCTGAGCGAGGACTGCCTCTACCTCAACGTGTGGACACCATACCCCCGGCCTACATCCCCCACCCCTGTTCTCGTCTGGATCTATGGGGGTGGCTTCTACAGTGGGGCCTCCTCCTTAGACGTCTATGATGGCCGCTTCTTGGTACAGGCTGAGAGGACTGTGCTGGTGTCCATGAACTACCGGGTGGGAGCCTTTGGCTTCCTGGCCCTGCCCGGGAGCCGAGAGGCCCCGGGGAATGTGGGTCTCCTGGATCAGAGGCTGGCCCTGCAGTGGGTGCATGAGAACGTGGCAGCCTTCGGGGGGGACCCGACATCAGTGACGCTGTTTGGGGAGAGTGCGGGTGCTGCCTCAGTGGGCATGCATCTGCTGTCCCCGCCCAGCCGGGGTCTGTTCCACAGGGCCGTGCTGCAAAGCGGTGCCCCCAATGGACCCTGGGCCACGGTGGGCATGGGAGAGGCCCGCCGCAGGGCCACACAGCTGGCCCACCTTGTGGGCTGTCCCCCAGGCGGCACTGGTGGGAATGACACAGAGCTAGTAGCCTGCCTTCGGACACGACCAGCGCAGGTCCTGGTGAACAACGAATGGCATGTGCTGCCTCAAGAAAGCGTCTTCCGGTTCTCCTTCGTACCTGTGGTAGATGGAGACTTCCTCAGTGACACCCCAGAGGCCCTTATCAACGCGGGAGACTTCCATGGCCTGCAGGTAACTAGTGGGGGTGAAGCTGGCTCCTCTGGGTCCCAACAGTCCCTCCCTTCCCCACAGGGACCCAAGCATGAGGGCTTCTCTAGACCCATTCCCAGAAGTCCCAGAAGTCCTCCCTGAGGGCGCAGATCCCAGGGTGGTCGGCAGGGCAGACAGGAAAGCCTCCATGGGTCTATTTTCTGTTTCTCTGAGTCCCTCCCCCGATCTCATCCTCTCTCTGTCCATGGTTCCAGGTCTGTAACTGTTCATCTCTCTGGCTCTTTGTCTGTCCATCTGTTTCTGTCTACTTGTCTGTCTGTGCCTGTCCCTCCATCCCACCCCGCTCTCCCTCACCCCCAGGTGCTGGTGGGTGTGGTGAAGGATGAGGGCTCATATTTTCTGGTTTACGGGGCCCCAGGCTTCAGCAAAGACAACGAGTCTCTCATCAGCCGGGCCGAGTTCCTGGCCGGGGTGCGGGTCGGGGTCCCCCAGGTAAGTGACCTGGCAGCCGAGGCTGTGGTCCTGCATTACACAGACTGGCTGCATCCCGAGGACCCGGCACGCCTGAGGGAGGCCCTGAGCGATGTGGTGGGTGACCACAATGTCGTGTGCCCCGTGGCCCAGCTGGCTGGGCGACTGGCTGCCCAGGGTGCCCGGGTCTACGCCTACGTCTTCGAACACCGTGCCTCCACGCTCTCCTGGCCCCTGTGGATGGGGGTGCCCCACGGCTACGAGATCGAGTTCATCTTTGGGATCCCCCTGGACCCCTCTCGAAACTACACCGCGGAGGAGAAAATCTTCGCCCAGCGACTCATGCGATACTGGGCCAACTTCGCCCGCACAGGGTCAGCAGTGCAGAGGGAGAGGAGGCTGGGGAGGACAGGAGACGGGGGTGGGGAGACACACACAAAGAGGCAGACACACAGAGACAGAAAGGACGGGTGGGACAGGGGCAGGATAGGACAGCCAGAGAGGGACATGCTCACAAAGGAGATAAAAGGGGAGAGCAAAAGAAAGGAGACAGAGTAGGCAGAGGGGGTCTTGCAGAGACAGACAGAGGCAAAGAAAAGTGAGGAAGAGACGAGATAGACACGGAGGGGGTGGGCACAGTGGCTCACCCCTGTAATCTCAGCCCTTTGGGAGGCCAAGGTGGGAGGATCCCTTGAGGCCAGGAGTTTGAGACCAGACTGGACAACATAACAAGACCCCGACTCTTAAAAAGAAAAAAAAAAAAAATACAAAACTTAGCCAGGTATGGTAGCTCGTGCCTGTAGTCCCAGCTACTTGGGAAGCTGAGGCAGGAGGATTGCTTGAGCCTGGGAGGTTGAGGCTGCAGTGAGCTATGACGGTGCCACTGCACTCCAGCCTGAGCGACCCTATCTCTAGAAAAAAAAAAGACAGCAGACCAAGACAAAGCAGTTGGAGCTGGATTAAACCAAACCAGTGATGATTCACTAGCAGTGACACATTCTCTCACACACACACCTGTTTACCTGGATCAAGAAGAGGACAATGAAATCTAGCATCGGATGGTTGTTGTTAAAAAAAAATGTGATGTTTGTAGACATAGGACCCGTCCTGGTTATTTAGGAAGGGCTTAAGACATCCTAGCCATTTTTTTAGTGGGAGAAACAAAGATGAAACAGAAAAGCTGAGGGAAACGGAGAGGAGACAGGGAGCATAGGCGGAAGGGAAGACCCCATGACCGGGCGCACTGGAGAAGGGAAAGAAGTGACTTGGTGGTGGGAGGGAGGGGACGGGATCTCTGGGGCTCTCCGCAGAACTGAAGAGTCCGGGTCCCGTGGGGTTGGGGGCCGCCTCCTCCCACTGCCCGTCTGGACTGAGCCTTCCCTTCCTTCCGCAGGGACCCCAATGAGCCCCGAGACCCCAAGGGCCCGCAATGGCCCCCGTACACGGCGGGGGCTCAGCAGTACGTGAGTCTGGACCTGCGGCCGCTGGAGGTGCGGCGGGGGCTGCGCGCCCAGGCCTGCGCCTTCTGGAACCGTTTCCTCCCCAAATTGCTCAGCGCCACCGGTACGCAGGGACCAGCGGGCAGCGGCTGGGAGGAGGGGAGTGGGAGCTGGCCAGGTGTAACCCCTCTCTTCTCCCCCTAGCCTCGGAGGCTCCCAGCACCTGCCCAGGCTTCACCTATGGGGAGGCTGCTCCGAGGCCCGGCCTCCCCCTGCCCCTCCTCCTCCTCCACCAGCTTCTCCTCCTCCTCCTCTCCCACCTCCTGCGGCTGTCACCACGGCCTCTTCCCCTACGGCCACAGGGGCCCCTCCTCTAATGAGTGGTCGGACAGTGGGGAAGGGCCCCACTCAGGGATCTCAGACCCAGTGCCCCCTCCCTCCTCAAACCAAGAGACTCACACTGGACAGGGCAGGAGGAGGGGACCGTGCCTCCCACCCTTCTCAGGGACCCCCACGCTTTTGTTGTCTGAATGGAAATGGAAAAGCCAGTATTCTTTTATAAAATTATCTTTTGGAACCTGAGCCTGACACTGGGGGGGAGAGGGAGGCCCTGGGCTGGGTAGCACCCCCCATTGGGGCTATAACGGTCAACCATTTCTGTCTCTTCTTTTTCCCCCAACCTCCCCCTCCTGTCCCCTCTGTTCCCCTGTCTTCCGGTCATTCTTTTCTTCTTCTCTCTCCTTCCTGCTGTCCTTCTCTGGCCCCGCCTCTGCCCTCATCCTCCCTCTCGTCTTTCGCACATTCTCCTGATCCTCTTGCCACCGTCCCACGTGGTCGCCTGCATTTCTCCGTGCGTCCTCCCTGCACTCATGCCCCCACCCACCCACCCAAATGTCCGATCCCCGACCTTCTTCGTACCGTCCTCCCCCCCGGCCTCGCCGGGCGCCCTGGCCGCAGACACGCTCGACGAGGCGGAGCGCCAGTGGAAGGCCGAGTTCCACCGCTGGAGCTCCTACATGGTGCACTGGAAGAACCAGTTCGACCACTACAGCAAGCAGGATCGCTGCTCAGACCTGTGACCCCGGCGGGACCCCCAAGTCCCCCGCTCCGCCCGGCCTCCTAGCTGTATATACTATTTATTTCAGGGCTGGGCTATAACACAGAGGAGCCCCAGACCCTGCCCATCCCCACCCCACCCCCGACGTCCCCCGGGGCTCCCGGTCCTCTGCATGTCTCGGACTGAGCTCCCTCCCCCGCGGTGCCTTCGCCCCTCTGGGCTGCCAATAAACTGTTACAGCCACGGGAGTGTGCGCAACTAGGGAGCTAGGGGTAGGGGCAGAACGCCGGAATCACGAGGGCCGAGTCTATGCAGGAGCGGGGCTGCAGGTCAAGAAACAGGCGAGCTCCGAGGCGGCCCCAAGGCGCCTGCTCATTCCAGCGAACGCCAATCCCCCGCCCTGCCCCGCCGGGCGGAGC